GTTTTCATGAGCGTTGGCGGGTCCTGGAGTGCCTGTCAAGGGCGCTAGCGCATAACTGTCCCCACCTATTTTTGCCTAGCTTTACTGCTTCACAGGCAGATGATGATTTCATTATTTATGTTTATATCAATGATATTTGTTTTCTTTGAGCAATGCCATACTTAGTGATGGAAAAAGTTTCTGTTCTGCAGAAAGGTACCATATTACAGTTTAGTATGTCTTATTCTTTCTCTTTTCATGTAATTTTTCCAGGATGAGATGGAAGAGCTTGAGGGAACAGATAATGTATCAACATTGTGTGAGGAGTAAGTATAAGAAATTAGTTTTTCTTTCCCATAAAGTTTGGGAGGGGAGAGGAGGGGTGGGCTTGGTTTGGAATCTAGAGGATTATCATTTACCAATATATTTGCAAAATCCATGGAGAGGAGATCTGAAAATTTTTCTCCTGCCAGCAATCTTTTGAGATAGTGGTGTTGACCTAGATTTCTTGATCTAATGACTAGCTCATTCAGTCAGTATGCTTCTCACAGTGTTGTCTCTCACATATTAGTTTGTTGGACATGATGCTTATCGCACCTAAGTTGTATGGTAACTAGTTTGATTGGGATTAATATCTGCCTTTTCCTTTCCCTCAGGTTGCTGCTTAGCATGGAGACCAGACCTGATCCCCTACTCCCCCTGTAATTACAAACTTGTGTTATTCTCATACCCTCTGTTTTAGATTAAGTTGCTTTTACCTCTAATGCTTGGGTTTATTCTGATTACAGAACAAATGGTCCTATAAACCCATCATGGGATAGATGGTTTGAAGGGCCTCAAGACTCACAAGGTTGCAGATGCCAGATTCTCTGATTTGAGGCGATCTAACATTGGTTGCCAAGATTTGTTACATAACAGACATGTTAACATGTTACAGCTCAATTGTTATCTTAACAAATATTCAATTGACTCTTTCCACAGTGTGCAATACCAAATTTTTTGGATGGCTGGAATTGAATGTACAATTTACTTTTTATGTTGGGATTAAATTTATATATCAAATACATCTACTGCAGATATGAACTTCCAAACATGCTTGTGTTTGTTTTCCTCCTCCTGTTTCCTTTTTGATGTAGTCCTTTCTGTATTTTACCAAATTATAGTTTCAATTAACTTGTTTCAGGACAGCAGCACATCTATTTCTTTTCTTTGAGAGGGTTATGTTTTGACAGCATCATGCAGGAGTGAAGAGGATGTATATGAATGCATTATTCATCTGTCATCCTGAAATCTATTTGTTTGATGAAAGTCCGCTGCATTTGCTTCAAAATATCAACTCAGTTATTTCAATTGGATCTGCTCTCGGTTTTCAAAGAAGTTATGAAAACATAAGGGCGAAAGCACTCTAACAATATTCGGGAATGGGTAAGACACGCCAAGATTACTTTCTATTTGCATCAGGAAAATGGGCATTAGTGAGCTGCGAGTGAATTCACAAATACTCAGAATGAAAGGAAGTCATTTCTACATAGGTTCGACATTACAAAGACAACGAAATTCAGAAACATGGATTCCTGTTACTGGCTCCAAGCTTCAACAACTAAAAACTCAATTCCTCAAAAGTATTTACACGTTACATACACTCCGAAGGTTAAGGTGCCACCTGCAATAGCTCACATATCTCAACACTGTCATTGGGTGAGCCTGAACCATTTAAATACAGAACCTTGGCAAGATGCAGAGATACAAACCAGATCAGGGAACTTGAGCAGACAAAAGATGTCTTAGTTGGAGTAGATATTCCTCGTCTGAAATGTTGAGGGAGAGGCGGAGATTTGTTAACAGGGACTCTTGCTCCCAAGTTAGAGGCCCTGAAGCGTACAATGCCTCCACTGTTGACTTGTAAGCACGGAGCTCTAGTTGATGGACATCAACTATTACGTCTTGGGGGGACAAGGGTAAGTCTTTTTTGCCACACAGAGAAGGGAATGATGATTCAGCATCAGAATTATCAGATGTGTTTTCCGATGATTTATGGGAAACTTGGCCGGCATAGTCAGCAACACCATTAAAACTACAGCTAGCAACTGAGCATCGGTCACTATCTTCAGTAGACCAAAGAGGCCTAGAAGAATCATGTAAACGGTGAGGAGCAGTATTTTCCATTCTGTAATTCCTGTTAGTAGATTGCTTAATGAATTTTTCATCAACCCCTACATTTTGGCAAGAAATATCATCTACCTGGTTAAAGAACGGAAGTTTTCTCTTAAGAGATTCATCAAACCCTCTACGACACGGAGGCGATTTCCTTTTCTTATGGATTTCTCCAAAGAACGGCTCCATATTCTTCAAGATTGATGGGCATAGCCTTTATACATGGCTCTCATGGACAGACACATGGTGACATTATCAGCCCCACCCTTACGTTACAAGCCACAACCACGGTATGGACGTTTTTGGTGTAAAATTGTTGGCCAAGTCTTTAACCTGAGCAACCTGCAATCACATGTGGTCTGGTTTAGATATACTGGTAGGTTCAACACATCAGCCATGACTTATTATGTGAAGGTTGTTCTTTGGCTCTCTCATAATATCAAACCGTAAACACCACTATGATTATGAGTAAAAATAGCAGTGACAATAAACTTCTTACTGGCCAGTTTGTGAAATAAGTCAACTATGTGACCATCATTGACAAGAGTTGGATATTTATGTCACAGCTCATTGAGCAAGAAATGATGTATTCAGAGGAGTATGTCACAGACATATTATCCTAACAATAATGCCAGGAAATTCCGTGAATGAAATTTATGTATGACTTCTACAATCAGGTATGTAGAAATTAACCATTGACTTCTAAGACATTCAGATGAAATTATCAACACATTCACTTTCGCTTGCTGTTGAAAGTACAGAGCAGCCAAATGAAGAACTTATTTTTCTCTTGACATCATCACTTGTGTATGTACTTGCAACTCCATCATCAGCCTGAAAATTTCTTAGGCTTCCAAAGCACCCAATCACTAGCTATCCCATAAATGATGACAAGGAAATGCCTCCCACAGATTTAGAAAAAAAAAACAATTGCAACATTATTCTGAGTTGTCTCACTAGTAAAGTAGTACTAAACTTTTCCCATTTTAATAGGTTTTTTTTTTTTTATTTTGTTAAGCTTTTGTAATATAACCATTAGTAAAAGTACCATTTTGACTTCAAAACTAATGAAAGCAGCTCTTCATTGCAAAAACTACATACCAAGCATTGCATATGCATTCAAGCAAGAATGAAGTTCATATTATGCATAGGGAAAGGAAATCACATTAGATACACATTAGAAAGTAATATTTTCGATCGATAGACAGACTTTTAATGTGAACAACAGAAAAAGAACAACATTGAAGGCAACAAGAATATATTTTCTCGAATCTTTTCAAAAGGATTTGTCATGAGTTATGCCTGCTAGAAAGAGAACTCTACTAAATTTAAAGCAAAGTAGGACCCTTTGATACAAAACTCCAAAGATAAACATTTAGAAAAGAGAATTCAGGGGCAAGAGCATGATGAATACAAGCCATTACCTTTCCAGTCACCACCCACTCGTTGTCATGGCAAACCTGACTAATCCTTAAACTTGATGCTCGAAATTCCTTAAAGCTAGATGGTCCCAAAGAATTAATGACAAATCGATTATTGTTCTTTAACACGTTTGCGACCTTTCCTACCATCCAATACTGGATATCAAACACCTCAGCTATACCGCCACCTGCCCAACTATTCCCATTTAGACTTGTAGAGACGGGTGCCTAAGCAGTTTGTACCTAACAATATAGTTGTCACCGCTGAAAGTATATTACCAGTCAACCAGGAGCCACATGGATCGTATTCTCTTCTTAACACCTCTACCAAATTCCCCTTTCTGAACTTTCCCTTTTTTTTTTTTCAAACTCTAGTATACTTAATCCTGGATAAGAAGAGCCAAAAAGAATACAAATTTATACTAACTTCCAAAATTAAAAAAAAAAAAAGATTTGGAAACAATGATATCTGAAGGTGTTAAAACAAGGATGAAGCTGGGTGCTTAAAAATCTATGGTAGTCTTCCTCACCCCGTCACTTAAATGGCATCGCAGATCCAGGTGCGACTCATTTAAGGTGCTAAAAAGACGTAAATTTTGAAACTTCTCGAGTCAGTTCTGCTCTAAGAAACGGAATCTTCATTTTTAAAAGATGAAATCATTTTATGTTCAAGAACTCCTTGTATCAGGGAAATGAAACTGAAACTAGCCAAAACAGAGATGTAATCAAATATATGTAAATCCATTAGAATCAAATATCCGACCCTTGAATATATATTTCATTCCGGGCACTTAAAAAAGAAGCTTGATGCATCCAAAACTATTGACAAACAGGGGACATTCTTCATCAAAGTCAGATGAACTCATGAAAACCAGTGTTGGTCAATCAGCAAACCGCCCCGAAACTACTCAAAACATCAATCCACCCATGTTCTAACACTTCCGAGAAACACCCAGAAACCAAATTCACTTTCTTTTGGTTTGTCTTTTCAAAATATGACAGTTACCCAGAATTAAAAATGTTATAATTTCATATTCAAAAACAAACTTAAAGTGACCCATACAGAATTTACAATTAACACAGAATTCAATTCAAAACTTTTAATTATTTGAATGAGACTAACCTGAGAGTAAGAGAAGAGATGAAAACGAACAGGACGCGGCTTGGTTACGGTCATGACCACATCTTTACGCAAAAATGGCTTATTTGAGCTCTCTCTTGGTTATTGGTTGAAGTAATACAAAATAATTAGATTACCATGGGTTTTGATACTAACTTAAATCCGTTTCCCAAAAACTCGGTATTTATCACGTAGCCGGTCACCTTTGGGGTCTTGCCTAATTGCAATTATGGGGACCATTATAATTTTTCGTATCTACCATAACGCATTCCATTTACGATCTTCCTCCTCCAATCTTCCATCCCACGCGAAAGGTCTCTTTGCAATGTATCCTTTCATCGTTTGGACAAATCTTTGCCATGTCGGACCCTAGACTTCGCTACAACCTCACAATGAGGTGACTTACGTAAAATTCTTTCAAGTCCTACCTTGTATATAATATATCAATCAAGATACTAATTTATTTTGTCAAATTTCTTTCTTTTTGTTTGTTATTAATTCCTGTCTTCTAACAAAAGGGAAGGGCCCCTTCTTCTCTGTAGCGTTGATTGCTTGGGTTGAGCTTAATTAAGTTGGTTGAAAATTGAAGGCCTGGAAAAGAGCTAAAAGCCCTTCCTTGCCCATGACTAGTTTCATCAGAGGCGCACTTAGTCCCAAATAAAGGGCTTTTGGGACTTTCCAGCTTCAGAAATAAGCTGTAAGCTAAAACAGCAAGGTTAAAGTTAGATTCGAATCTGAGTGTAAAATTCGGTAATGACTTCTCTTGTTCTCTTGCCTTCGTAATAATATATACATGCAACAATGTCTTTAAACTAAAAGCTACTGAAACAATGAAATTCGGTAATGACTTCTCTTGTTCTCTTGCCTTCGTAATAATATATACATGCAACAAAGTCTTTAAACTAAAAGCTACTGAAACAATGAACGAAAGGAAAGGAATAATCAATGCGATTGTTTATGTATATATTAATGCGATGGATTCACGAAAGTGGAAGGATGATAATTGGCAGGGGGGGCAATGAGAATGACGGTTTGTCTTTGTGTTTGTGAGTTGCGATCCTAACCTTATCTTAACACTATCTACAAGTTTTATGGCTTTGCTATGGCAACATGTCATTTGTCACCGTCTCCACCTTTTTTCCTTGGCTTTGGACTCATTCCACTTATGCCTCCGTCACTGATTTCAGGGACAAGAGAAGGCAAACAAATACTGTTTATTGCAAAATTTCAGCTTCTATGTTCATCTGTCAGCAGAAAATGCACTAAGATTTATTTTTCCCCCCAAAAGTCAAAGATTATATTTATGGAAGTAGGAAAATTGAAAAAGGGATAAAGTGTGACAATCCATGAAATCATTTTTCCAATAAATAACATATTATATTAAGAAAATCCAAACTGGAGAGGAATTAGACATATTATAGTTATCCAAAGAGGCCATTGAGTATTGACTGAGCAGGCAAATCAGAAAGCTAGTCTGAGTCTTGGGACATGAGAAAAGCCGCTCTGGGCTTTCAGTCCATCTAAAAGGGGGCAGACTCACTGGCTCAGTGGGCTTTTCCCATTATATTATATATATATATATAAATATGTACATGTGTATCTGATTAAAGGAAATGCCTCTCTCCAGGCTGAGGTTGGGCTGTCTTCAATCAACCAGCCTTACCAAAGAAAGCATTTGACCCAACAAGAAAACATACATCCTGATTCCTAACCTTCCAACACACCCAGCCTTTGATCTAAAACTAAATAAACAAGGAAAAAGAGGCGGCAAAAGCATTGCATTACTAGGAAAAGAGAACAGGGGAGGGAAGGGACAGTACATTTGTTTTAATTTAGGGCGTTAGACTCTCAATGGATGACCAATTAAGAAAAAATGCTGATGGAGGGGGTTTGGTTTGGTCCAAAATTTATCCCATCCGTACTTAATAACAAAAAATAGTACTTAAACACAGATATAATTAATGACTGAGGAAGTTGAATATAGGCTGGCATAAACCCATTCAATATATGCTCAGCCTATGGCTATAAATTCGCCTATTTATTCCACCGGAGACAAGCGGATTATGAGATCTAAACCCTACCCAATTTTTAATAATCCCATCAGTGAGATGTCCTCACCGTAATTGACATAAATTCAATTCTCCAACAAAAATAAAATTTAATACCTTAATCATAGTCCCCAAAACTAAACCATTGCGTCATCCTTGTGAATTTGCAGCAAAAGTGTTATAAAAATGCGGGAAGAGTTGCATATACTTTTCCTAGGAAGTCTAAATATTGTTAAATGCTAATTAAATAATCCATAGTACATGATTACATCAGGGATTATGCTCAGCAAAGTTTAGGTATTAGGTGTTAATTCTTGTGTCGTTTGCTTCCTTCAATGAAGCCACTTCCGCTAGCAGTTTTGAGAGCCATGTGAAAGTGGCCGCATCCATCGATGAAACCTTTTTTCGGCAGCTGGGCTACGGTTCCCAAGCAAAGTGGCAAAGGAAAACTAATAATTAACCTTATTTTCACAAGACCTGAAAAAAAAAAAAAAGTTAACCTAAAAGACCATTAAGCATCTCCTATTACCCATTACTGTCACTTTGTCTTGACATGAGTTTAATAAATTAACAATACTAGTCTAGTGTCTAAGGAGAGTGAACCATCATTAATTATGGAGAAGGCCAGTTGCTTATACTATTTCTTTTCTTTTTCTTTTTTGTGGCTGCAACAGAAGAAAGAACTTCATTATAGGTGACTGACTATTGCTCTTTTGTGATGACCTTAAAATCAATGCCACGCATGCAAAACTATTATCATGCTAAACTGTGTAGGCTTCAGGACACACTTTGCTGATATATTCATTGGCTGTCCAAAGAGTCCAGTGCATTTAACACGTTTTAATTCTTGTTTGGTGGAAACCGAAAACTAGCATATAAATGGACTTGAAGTTGTTTAGATATAGCCCCTTTGGATAATTAGGTGTGAATAATGATTGCTCTAATTGGTTGCAATTTACTTAATCTTTTTTATGTTCATTTACCATATTCATGAGAAATTTAGGCAAGATCTAGCACAAAACACATGCTAATGCGATGTAGACGTTAAAGGTCATGTGCAATGCTTTGGAAACTTAATCTCCCTTCCATTTCAGTACCCACTTCTCTTTTCTTTTTGTTTTTGTTTTAAAGATAAAGATGTCATGTGCATGTTAGGAGAAATGTGCTTTCAGATTTAGATAATTGTGAAATTTTGACTAATGTTGGGAATGACTCTTATTCAACATACTTGAACTGGCATAAAAAGTTGGGGAATGATGTTAGAATGCAATTACACAAGGTGGAGGATGGATTAACCTCCCCCGCTAAATGACAGAGCTGCCAACTCTTCATATGCTCTGTTACTTATCAGTTTCTCTTAAAATTCAAGACTACATTTCAAAAGTTCCAATTTTCATGATAAAAGTTTTGAACCCAGAAATTCTATTCTATAGGGGGAGAAAGATTGTTTGAAGTAGAAGAAGTTTTTCACTTAGAAAAAACAAAAGGAGAACCTTTTCTATCTTATTATTTGGGTTGAACCTTATTAGGAAAATGTTCCAGTAGTACATTACAGAAAGTGATTACTCACAGTTTTGACGCGTGGAGCTGACTCACGCTGAGATCTCAACATGTAGGACATCAGGGAAAATACAGGGGACGAGAAAGGAAGCGGCAAACTTTAGTTAGATAGAAAAATAAAGGAGTTATTATAAAATTAATGTCCATGTGGGATGGGCACAGCATTTTGCAGTCTTCGAAGTTAGAAAGTGGTCCAACTACTAAACCCAGAGAGGAATCAGAACCCCCATCTCTTCATGATTAATTCAGCATTCCCCAAATCCATTTAGCCCAATCAACAAATTTTTTGAATAAAAAAAACATAGCTATGCCTTCTCTGAGCATATGGGAGGCATTTCTCAGAAAAAAAAAATCAAAGGGGCACATTTTCCCCTGACAAGTTTTGAATATTCCTCCAATCTAATTTCTATTTTTATACTGGGGGCACCCCATATCCCTTGCTGTAATTTTTTTTGCCTCAGAGAATTCATATTTGCCATAGTAAACTTCATTTACCGAGTGAGACTTGTAGAGACAAAAATATTCAGACGATATAAAGAAGATGCCCTCTTAGCAAATACAGCTTAAAAGTGTAACCTGGATGCTAATATTACCTGCATTCCATGAGAATAAGCAGTGATGTGGAGGAAGGGCAGAACTCCACTCAGGATAAAATACAGGCCAGTACGAACCACAGACCCTAAGGTATTTTATAGCGTAAGAAACAATAAGGGAATGTGAAATGTAGTTTTAACGAAATAGAAAATCAAGGAATGTGTGCAGAAGAGGAGGGGTCGGTGAGAGAACATGGGAGTCTTCAGATTGGAAACCGTGCTATTTCACCACATACATCTAACCAGGTCATGGCCATGAGTGACCGGAAGAAACCGGGGGCCCACAAAACCCCAAACCCCAGCTAGTTTCACTTATTAATCAACTTTACTGGTTCTTTTTAATCTTTCTTTTTTTTTTCCGCTTTTTGCAGTTTAGTGGTCAGATCAGAATGGGTGAGATTGTAATTATGAAAAGCTAAAGATTAAAGGGTTCTGCAGATCTGAAATGCATGTGGGTTAAATGAAAAGCAGGTTAGATGAAAGGGCAAAGAGAGAGAGTTTCTGCATGCTTTATCTGTGTATGATATATACACAATTATTAGTATCAGATTCAGATCAAAGACAAGACACATGAAAGAGATGTTAGGTCCATAATATATGTGAATAGTAGACATGGCTTATAGGCATGTAAAATGAGATATAGGCTCACATGGTGTAACACAGAAGGTTTTGCCATTTCACTGCAGAGACATTTCACATGGGATATGGCAGCTTCACTCCTTAGAAGTTTAGAACCCCACTTATCATAAGGCCAGGTGCTGCTTCCGTAAAAAGAAACTACAAGTATGTCCCGCCCTATCACGGGCAATAAGGCCATGGCAATTGCCATACAAGAAAATGTGCTATGATAAAAATGGTTCTGTTTGGCTGGAAGGAAACTTAGGCTTCAGTCAAGAATGTGTTTTTCCCTCTTGTAGTCAGATAATGGATTCAATCACAACCGTCTCATTATAGCAAGAGGCAAAAACACGCCTAAAACAATTAAGTTTGACCACATGCTGCTTTAAATAAAAGGAACCTCCCCCACAAATATATTGCATCCAGAACCTGGATTTGATCAGTACGACATAGGATCCTCAAAATGGGAAGCTTAGCATTTCGAGCTTAGGGATATATCTACATACCACATGGTTGGAGTTCAATTTACTCTTCAGGTTGGATTCGCTCAATGTTCAAAACTTTCAAGTTACGGTTTGCACCTTTTTCACACCAACAATGAGGCTATATAAAAAAGTAAGGATTAGAAATAAACAAGGTTTCTTACCAAATTCAGATATTTTCATCGCGATTACTATCAATACCAAGACACACAAAAATCATTGACTGATACACTAGCATGCATGTAGTATTTTATTTTAAGTATACAGATAAGCTTGCTAAAACTTAAAACCACAAGCAAAGGGAAACGTTGAGAGTCAATTCATTTCCGCTCTTTTCTTAGAGAAGTAAGTTTCCGTTAATGGGAATAATTTTTTCAAATTGAAAAGCTTGGGAACCCATTTAACAGATTTGTTGTCTAAGCGTGGAGCTTTGCCCTAAATTAATGTGATGTATTCTTACTATATATGTATTACGTAAAAGGCAAAGTATTGAATTGTACGAGCCTTGTGTTAGCTACAAATTATATTAAGGCTATGATGAGGTAAGTCAAAATGAGAACATCTCTATTGACTTTAATTTATTTTCTCAAAATAATATATATATATTTCCAGTGCGTTTAAGTGGGCATAAAATAAACGTTGCGAGGCAACAGCGGCGTATCGAGCTAACAGATACCTTGACGCCCTTTATTCTTACTTGGCAGATGTGAGCTGGCCCACTTTGGTGCCCTTTCCAAACTGTTGTTGCTGTACCCATGCCACCTGTAAGCACATAGCTTAACCACGTGTGAAGCTACAAAAGTTGATGGCATAAGAACCAGGCTCTGCTACGTCCAGTAGTGCAGCCCCTTATAATGGAAGTTGGAACTTCTCAGGCACCCGTTTTGGGAAGCCGGTGGCTGGACCGGGTGTTTTTTTGTTTTTGTCCAGTCAAGGCTGTCTGAGTCTTTCAACTTTTGAGGACTGCAAAACGATGGGTTTATTTATTCCCTTTTTTCCCATTACTCACGGGCTGCACCTTACTATATACATATATTTATCTCCTCTTCCGTTTGCATTGGTAAAGCCATTTTTCTTTTTACTCGCTCCGACTGCTGTATCTTCATCTCTGTCCTCGTGATTCACGTTAATGTGCACCATTCTCTTATCCATCTCTCCATTTGGACGGCTTTTAATTGATTCATATGTTGCCCTCCAGCCGACCCATCATCAATGATTAATGAGCCAAAGAGATGGATTGGTAATTAATACCAAACCAACAAGTACTTTGAAGCTTAAAATGGCCAAAAAACATGAGGCCACATTTCTAGAGGAATTACGACGGGTGTAACAACCAACTCTTGAGAGCATGTAATTCAACTCTAAATCTTAATACATGCATATAATGCATATTAGTGAGAGTTGGTCAAAATAAAAGTTACAAGGGTGGGTTGGTCGTCGTTCAAAGGCACGAAAATTAAGGGAGCAGATGAATGACACGTAGAGTGAAAGCATTGCCCACCGAGGCTTACCTGCAACCTGCAGGTCTGCGCCACTTCAGATACAACAAAGTCCTCAAACGTGAGAAAATTACTATCCAAGAGTGAAATAAAACCAACATGGCTGTTCCTCAATGTCCCAATTGCCATTTCCTTCTAGGTCCCTAAACTACTTTCACTATGTAGTATTTTACTACTTTGTCATTTCGCTCAAAGGTAGGGGCAAGTTGCGTCCATTTCCACCTGCCCCACTTCACTGCTCTTTTCCTTAACGTCGCCTACTCTTTTAAAGACCAGAAAAGCGGGAGATACAGATAGAGGCTGCAGTCACAACCCCACTCAGCCAGGGAGGGAAAGAAGAACCAAACAAAAAAAAAAAGGAAAAATACACCGAGAGAAAGGGAGAGAAAACCAGAAAAACACGGAGAGAAATGTGAATATGGAAGCTTAAGAAAAGTTAAGTTGAGAGAAAGAAGAGGATCATTGAGTTAAAACGGGAAGTGATAAGTTTTCGTTTTCCGAGAGAAAAACAAAAATGACGACGGGATTAGTGCAAGACCAGAATCTAGAGAAGCAAATGGGTTGCATGGCTGGTTTCCTTCAGATCTTTGACCGTCACCAGCTTCTTACTGGCAAACGCCTTTACTCCACCAAGCGCCTCCCTCCCACACCGGTTGGTTTCTTTCTTCTCTACTGCTTTCGTTGTTTTTTTCTTTAAATGTGGATGTGGACTTCTACTGAACTTTATTTCTATGTTGGTTTTATAATATTGGATTTTTGTTCAGGCCACTGAAACGACACAGGAGCACGAGACGACAGTTGAGTCACCAGCAATATCGAGAGAATTAGAGAAGCAGCCACAAGGTCGATCAGCTCCATCACCGGACCGTTCAAAGCAATCTCCGGTTATATCGGAGCTCCGATCTCCGGCGCCGGAACCTTCCACTCCGACAGGAAACCAGAACAAGACACCTCTTCCTCTTCCCATGTTTGAATTCAAAGAAGGCAGCGCGAGGTCACCGTGGAAATTCTCCAAAGAAGCTCCAAGGCTCTCTCTTGATAGTAGAGCCGTCGTTGATGCTAAAGGAAGCCTTAAGCCCAGAGAGATCCGTGCTAATGCCGCCATTTTATCTGCTAACCAATGCGACAACAACGGCGAAGAAGACGGAATGGATGATAACGACAAACAACGACGGTCACCTAGCGTAATCGCGAGGCTTATGGGACTCGAACCGTTACAGGATTCTGATCCCGAACCAAATAGAAAAGCACAGCTCCGAAGATCCGCGTCGGAAGCAAGAGGCAGAGATCTATTTCAGTACCGTTTTATAGACGGAGTTAATTTCCATTTAAAACAGAGTCAGCAACCAATTTTCCAAAATGGAGGGGCTTCGAGCAATGTGGTAAGAGAAAAAGGAGCCAAACAAGATCAAGTGATAAGTAACAGATCAGAAGGTTTAAGAAATGCGAGAGCTGAACCGGTTAAAGCTCCGGTTCGCGGAATGGGCCAAAGGAAATGTTTCTACGATTCAGCCGATTTCTTTCCCGAACCAAAACAAACCGTTTCTATCTACGGTGAGATTGAGAAACGGCTTAAGCTCAGAGGAATCGACGAGCCATCCAAAGATCTCGAGACTCTTAAGCAAATTCTTGAAGCTTTGCAACTCAAAGGCCTTTTACACACTAGGAAACCGGCAAACCAAACGAATAACAGGAACTTTGTTTATGAACGTGAAGAATCTCCAATTGTCGTTATTAAACCGGGGAGATCACATTCGTCCCCGGTCAGAAGGATTGGCAACGATTCGCCTCCTTCGAGCTATAGATCAAGACCTGGAGCTCGCCGGAACATGAATCTCGAGTCGCCGCCGACGATGAGTCCGAGACGTGATAGACCAGAGGGTGAACGGAATGTACGGAACCAAAGCAGAGCTAGGGGTTCGATTTCTCCGACGAGGAGTGAGTGTGGCGTCCAGAGTCCTAACAGAAGGCAGTTGAGTGTTGAAAATCAGAGAAGGAATGCGAATGTGGAGCAGAGAAGAGTGTCTCCGGTTCAGTCTCCTAGGGTTAATGTGAGAAGAACCGGATTAGATCAGACGACGAGTAGGTCGCCGAGAAACAGGAAATTAACGGCTGAGATTTATCAGAAAGAAGAGAAGGTATTTATTCCAGCGGAGGATGAAATATCCACTGTTTCGGAGAGTAGCATTAGCACATGTTCTCAAACTGATACGGAGGTAAATTTACTAAATTACTGAATTACACTGAATGTTTGATTAATTAATTTTGCTTAATTACCGTAAATCATTTAAGTAATGTAAGTTTTTGTTATGGCATATTGGCTTTTACAGAGATCGAAGGTGGAGGAATACAAGGAAGGGAAAAGCCTCTTGGAAAGGTGTGATAAGCTGCTTCACAGCATAGCAGAGATGACCGCTACGAATGAGCTGCAGCCGAGTCCGGTCTCGGTCCTTGACTCGTCGTTTTACAAGGAGGAGTCGTCTCCTTCCCCTGTTATGAAACGGATCATCGATTTGAAAGGTAAGACAGAAAATTGTACCAGTATTTCTTTTTGATGAGAAAGCCTACGAACTGATTTTGATTTGCTAGATTTTGCATTTGACTACGGTGACGCATGCACTATTTGGTAGACCTGATCATAGTTTAACCCTAGGCCTGTAATTACTGACAAGTCAAACAGGCTCATTCAAAACTCAAAGCACTTGGCATGATGTCTATTCTTGGACTTTTATTTGTTTTTTAATCCACGATTAGTCAAAACGGTTTTAGGATGATTTCAGTGGTTTTCCGCCTTGGCGGATTTAGGAGAGAATTCTTTTGGTTTTTTCTTGGGGACGGGCTCATGAATCATGCCGGACAAAGTTTAATAGGAGGAGGTGAAGAGAATCTAAATTTGGTTGGCGTTACGATCACGTGGGATTGTTCAGTTTCATCTTTGATTGTGATCGTAGGGAAAAGGGTATCGCTTGAGGATGACGCCGTATTATTGGTAAAAACTTAAACAATAAAATGAAGAACTGCAACTTTAATCAAAGAACAGACATATATAGAGAAGTGACTGAAACCTCTACGCTTTACTGCAAAACAAAATTACCTGATGTGAGAAAAATCCCGTACTCCCCCTAAGCCAAAGAGAAAAGAATATCCTCCCGCTGGACTTGCCTGACAGGTGGCCGTTGGAGGCCATAACATTTTAGAGCATCCCATGCTCCCATCCTGCATTTGGTATGTGTAGGCAATGGCCCCACCCCTGTTAATTGTTAAGCCAAGGGCATATGGGAAACAGAGTGAAAGCGACGATGAATTTGGTCTTTTTCTTGATGCATCATCTCCTAGTGTCAGTACTGATATTGACTTTGTTTCTCCTTAAATTAATGTTGGATGGATGTGTTAAAAAACTATTTTCTGATTGGGTAAATTTTCAATCAGCGTCAGCATGAGATTTTAACCCTTTGGTTTTTTTTCTCTTCTTCTCATCTTTGGTGAAACCATCAGATCAACTTGTTGAATCAGAAGATGAGATGTGGAGTCCTGCAGTCTCGTCTGCTGAATCAAAGTTTGAAGATAAATCAGATGATTGTGATTTTGTCTACATTACTGATATCCTCAGAGCGTCCAATTACGTTCCTGAAGATTTTGATGTCTTTTTGTTGCTGGAGAAGCAGCAGTATCTCAAGGGGAAGGACACCTCGAAAGTGTCCAGACTCCAACGGAAGCTTATATTTGACACCATCAATGAAATTCTCAATCGAAAGAGACAATTACCACCATGGAAGCTTATCTCGTGTACAAATTCATGGGCTGGACAGACATCATTGCAACAAATTTGGTCCGAATTCCAAAAGATTCGGGAGAGGGACTCATCGGATGACTTGTTTGAGGTCATTTGCGGTGTGCTAAGAAAGGACCTTGCTGGGGACGGCTGGGGAGATTGCCCCATTGAGATGTCCGAAGCAGTCCTCGATATTGAACGGCTAATATTTAAGGACCTGATAGGCGAAACCATCCGAGATCTCGCTGCTCTTTCTGGGAAAAGTAATAAAATCCCGGCACCTCGTAGGAAGTTGGTGTTCTGAAAGTGAGAGATGAAAAAGAGATTGGCCTTTAAATTATTCTTCGGGTGCTTTCTTTTAGCTCCTTGCTTTTTCTAATTTTATATATTTTGACCCCCCCTTTTTTTTTGTGATTAAGAAATTTGGGTGTTTAATCTTCATTTACCTGAAATCCAGGCATATCCAACGATCGCTTTTGCAAGCTGTAAAAAAAAGGTGGGATAATGTTTGTGACAACAATTAAAAAGGCATTGTGAAGCGCATGTGCAAGCTATCGTGCATAATCACGTTCGCCACTTAATATAATCATAGAAAAGTGAAAGTGACTCTAAAAAATGGACATTTGCTCTCGGCATTGAAGAAGCTTAGAACATGAGTTTTGCCCCTGACTAACGGATCAATCATGCCACGACTCTTCTGCTTTCCATAATCTTGGCTTACCGGTGGTCGCTGCTTTCCATCAAGGCCCCCGAAAGGTCAATTTAGTCGGGCTGTCCTGTTGACCCCATGCATTGATTTCAAAGCCATCTAGAATTGAAACATGAGATGAGAAATTGCGTTAGGTTTTAATCGCAACTCTTGATCTAAGAACGTTCTTTAACTGTGTCGATTTGGATTCGATCCGAAGATGAAATCTCTCTGTTACAAGAAATTATTTACTAATATCAAAACTCATTTGGAGAACATTTATAGAAGTTGAAAGTATATTTCACTCACCAAGAGTGTTGTAACTGAGTACTGGTTCTCTAAAGGTTGTGTCACTTGTCAATATGGTACGTACCTTCTCATTATAGCAAATGGAGCCCAAGGCTCATAATGTCCCGGTGATCTTAGTTTCAATAATAGTCACAAACTGTCCACACTTTTCTTTTTGTTTCTTGGCATTCAATTTGTTGTAGTTGTCCTTTTTTTCCCCTCTCTTAAATGCCTTGGTAGCAAAAATGCAGCCCGGCACGGGTGCCACACCTCTAGTAGAAACCGCCCTTTATAAAGGCGTGTAGTACTGCATATTATGGGCAAGGAGGTGGCCGTTGGGGTGAGGAGCGATGTCCTTTGACTGTAGCTTTCCGCCTTCATGGATCCTCTCTGGTGGTGTCAGGGTGAAAACCATGGGCACTCTGGGCTGACGAAAATGGCGAGTACACTGTCCTCGGGTTTGAATTCGATGGCACAGCTTTGAAAGTTTTTTCCTTTTTTCATATCTTTTGCTTAGATATTCGGCTTCTGTTCAGTTCCTGTCTCTTAAACTGATGCTTTTTATGACTGTTTCGCTTCGTTTCAGACATTAAAAACCATAGCGATATTACAAATTTGTAATGCATTGAAAAGGATGCAAGCTACCAGGATCATCGTCCTTCCTTTGTTTACATTGTTTTTGGTTTTGTTTTCTCCGGTTTAAAGGATTTTGTCAGCAAAACACAGTGGTGGTTTTTTACTAGTCAAAACAAAAAGCCTTCTACCATTGAGTATGCCAAAGAAAATCCTTCAATGATATAACCCGGTTTCTTGCCCACTAAACCCCCGACACTCTCTTAAAATCCTAGCGCAATGAGTCGGTTGATGGCTTGACGCAATCTTTCTTCACATGAGTTGGCAATTTCTTTGTGAGGTCCAGAAAGGACAGCGTCTTAATGGGCAGTTCCTCGAAAATTATTTAATGAAATAGTGTTAAACAGAAGCAGGGCCCCTCTCAATTAAGTTCCGGAAAGAGTTGTGGAGAGACTTGATGTTAACGTTACTATTTGAGGGGGCCATCGCCTAACGCTTTTTCCTGCATGGGGACTACAGCCAACTGTAAAAAACCATCTCGAGTAAATTACCAACTCTGGTGGCCCCTTGAGCGATGGTAGAAGAAGAAGAAGATCCAAGTGAAAATTTCAGTGGTGTTTTTCCCCTTACCTCCACGTCCAAGGTGCCTTGAGTAATGACAACTATAGCAGGCATGCCATGTTTAAAATTTATTGCCCTGGCTCCTGCCAAAAAACCAAAAAGGTCCTGAATTATGTTCTGCAGAGGGCGCACTTGTCGTTGGGCCGCAGGGTTTGGCCCAAATAGTTTTATTACTACTGTAGTCATTTTTGGTTTGACTAAATAATTTTATAGATGCCAAAATTTATAACTGAGTGTATGATCTGATAAGGATAAAGTGAGACTCTTAGGTCTGCTGAGGAATGTCCAAACTCTGCTACCAAAACCAGTGCCTCATTATTTCTCCCATAACTATAGTGACAAAGCTGCTTGTTTGTTTTTTGCTATTAGAAAGAGTCTGGAGCAGTAACAATATTAGTCAAGCACTTTCACCTATTTGGTTTAATCCTCATCTAACCAAGCTCGACTTCAGTGCATGTTTGTTGTAACCAGTGTCCTGAAAAATGAACACAAAAAGGAAATTTGAATCTCCACATGAGTTTCCATTTTCTTCCTCAATGATGAGGAAATGGTACCAGCCAGTCAGTTTGGGCTTACATCAATCTATGTACTACCATTTTTGTCACTGTTTTGTTTTGTCGTGCAATGTATGTATAATCATAATACAGTGGGGTTTATATGTAACAGATAAGAGCCAAACCAATCTTTTTCCTAGGTATAGGTCCCCTTCGAATCTTTCATTCCACATTTTCGAATCACAGGCCTTGTAACTTATCTTCTCACATGGCTGGGCCCTCTTCATCACTAGGCCTAGCCATTTTCCCCCTCACTCTTGCAACTGTCGATGTGTATAGACCCACTGAAATAATACTGCGGGGGTTGCCTAATAAATAATTCCATGCTCCCTCTAAGTAGAAATCTTTTTAAAAACAAAAGAAGCTCAATCAAGAATATTTTTCCAAAACAAGAATGATGGGGTCACAACACAAGCTTATCTATTTCTATTTCGTGCATTGAAGAGTAAAGGCAGAGTAGTGGAAGTGATTGGTAGTGACAATCGTTACTTTTTAATTTTTTGTTATTATAAATATAAAACTTAATATATATATATAATATGATTAATTTTATAATTACTCTTTAATCATTCTTCAATCAAATTCTGAATTCATTATTGATTAAAAGATTTGGATGGTTCAGTCCTGGCATAGGCAGGTACATGCCACTGCTGCATACTACTTTTCTTATATTTGAGTGGTTCAGTTTTTCAAGAATATGTAAACTTCTTGCCTCCATGGCCAAACCCTTTTTTTCTTTTCCCTCTTCTTCCTCTACTCCAATTGTTTATTTTTAGAATAATGAAAAAAGCCTTCGACCCTGTCCAGTCTTTGTCGTGGTAAGTTGACATCGTCATCCTCCTCGGTGGCTGAATCCTTCTCCTTCAATTGGTATTTTAGCTGGATGATTGAACTAGGCAATGAAACTGCATCCGTCATTGATCATAGCTTGGAGGTTTAGAAAGTGAGAGAAAGGACATGCTGAAAACCTTACTCCCAAAGCATTATGTATCAAAAACTGTATTTTGGAAGAAAATTGGACCTTGGGCCTTTAGCTTGAAAGCCTAAGGTTTGGGTTAAATTAGGCCATGGGCCGTAGATTGGTGGTATCTGGATCTGAGAAAATTGGACCCAAATAGAGCCGACAGGTTTAGTTCTCGTTTTCTCCAGAGAAGAATATATATATGTATGTATGTATGTATGTATGTATGTATATTTGTATATATATATATGTATTACCAAGCTTTTTCAGAGTCATAAATTGTTGGAAATGGTGGAACGTAAAACGCGCACTCTTTCCTTTCTCAGGTACTTCTGAACTTTCTTCTTCAAATATTGTATTAAACTTATGAAAATCGTGAGAGTTTGGCCAAAAGTCTGATTTCTTTGGCCGTTGCTTGTTCTTTCTTTTCCTCTTTCCCTTCTGTCCAGACATAGTGGAAGGGAAAATCATACTATTTCTATTTTATTTTTTAATCAGGAATCATAGTAGCTTTGTTTGTAATTTAAAATATGAAGTTTTGAAGACATATGATTATACTATATAATAATAAGCTTTGGTCATGGTGTCATAATTTTTGCTTCCTAAATTCATGTGATTGTAAGTTCTGCATTCAGTCAAACTGATGTCATTTTGAACCAAAAATGACCTCATTTTTTAGTGTATTTAAAGCAAATAAGGAAATCTTAATCACTGCTTAGCATTTAGAAATCAAAACAAACATGTGCTATTGTTTCCATTAGGCATGCTGTTTGGTGCAATTACTGGCTTTTTCTAACTCTGGGGCATCCTTAATTGGTGGATGTGGGATTTTGAATCTTTCATTAGGCTTTAGTAAACAACAGGTTTGAACTTGTGTGTGAGAAAAAGGATGTCTGAGCATTGAAATTGGGATGCTTGATAATGTTTAGGTTAGGAAGCCATCTTTTTTGTAGTAAATTTCTTGGCAAAAGAGATGATTTTATCTGTCCTTTGCTACATGATCCTTAAAAGGTTTTCTGGTCATCCTAATTCTTTCTTTTTTGGTCCGTCGACGAATCAAATCCCCTGGATGGTTGATCTTACTGTTTCCAGTTTCCACGCAAGAAAATCACTTTCCCAGGAGAGAACAACTCCTCTAACCCCTTTTAAAAGATAAGCCCACCCTGATTTTTGTTGGTGTCACATAAAGTAATCCTCATCTCAGAATCAGATCTGGTCTTATTTATGCTGTAAAACTATCAGTATGTCGGTACTTGTATGTTTCTGTTTCATGACGCTTCTCTTTTCCAAAGTGAAAACACACATCTGATAGGTCACATATTGGGTAATGCGGAGGCGTCAATAATATTAAAGCCTTAATTGTGAATTTAAGAAGGACAATCAAAATATAGGCCATCAAGTAGAGTTCATTAAGTTTTAAAATATTTTAGCAGCCCTTGGCATTGGGTATTAGAGATGATACAAAAAGGCAAAGCAGATGACCTTCAGCCAAATCCTAGAAATTTCAGCCTTTTACTATATTCTTCAACAACGAAGCTTTGAATGTGAGTTTTAATTACTTTTAAATATTTAGATCTACTTGGCATGTTGATGATACCCTTATTAGTTCTTGTTCACATTCTGTGCTGTTGTAATCAAAACATTGTCATCTTAGAATGATACAAATTTCCTTGTAGTCTCCAACATGTCTTGTCCACCCACTTATTCATGCTGTCTCATATTTGAACGCCAAATTGCTTCAAAACATTATTATGAAAGGAATCAACTTTCGGCTGAATTTCAAGGTGAAGGTGGATCTAATCACTCACTCTCTCACTGAAACAGAAAAGACAGCAGAAGAATCTTAGCTTTGCTCACTTGGCAGCACCAAAGGTGGGAGACACCACTGGTCCACCGTTGCTGACCTTAAAGCCTACAATGAATTTTCAGTCAAAACACTTCTCCTGATAGGAAAGATAGTTGGCTTTGCCATTAGCATTAATTAAAAAGTAGAAGCGTATCATCATGGTCAAACCCTCATCAAAAGATCTAAAGAATCCTCCGGAGTATCCATATCTCTGCCTATAGAATTGTTAAGTAATTTCCAGTTTTAAGAAGAAAAAATTTACTCATTTTTAAGATCTGTTTAATCTTAACTATGATCATGCTTACCCATTTTTTTGTGGGTTGGGCGGTGGGGGGTTCGTGGTTAATCTGTGTAGCATAGTGAGTGTATTCTCTGAACAAGCAAAAAAGTGTGTATATATTGAA